ACTCGACGGCACATAACAACAAAAACAACAACAAGGAATCAGTAAGATTCTGTGAAATTTGAATCATTTCCCCTAACATCAATCCCTGAAGCATGTGCTTTAGTCAGACAGTTGCATTGTTGGCTTTTTCTGTTTTACTGCTTTCCCCTTGCCAAGTAAGAAGAGGAAAATGAAGATGACTCCTCCTATTTCATTTCCAAAATTTGGATGTATTCATTCATACAGATTTCTGCCATTGTCTAGGTATTCTGGGTAGTGAGTTCTTGGGGAGGAACAGTCTGTTGTTGTTAGGTTTCATTGAGTTGGCTCCAACTCACAGCGAACCTGTGTACAGTAGAAGGAAATACTGCCTTAGTCCTTGTGTATAAATTAATATTAGATAGCATGATAGGAATCATTTTTAAAATTGTTTTCCTTTCTATTTAATGCTTGAAATATTTATATTGCTCTTACTCTTTTGTGTTTAAGATCTCTGAGTATAAACCATTTATCTATTTTTACAGAGTCATGTGACTATGGATTGATGAAAAAAAATAACCATATGTGTTGTTCTTCTTGCTCACTTAACTGAGGACTGACTACCCATATCTTAATCAAAAGAAAATCCTGTGTTGAAATTTTTGCTGTGTTAGAACCTTTTGTTGGGACATAATTCTCCATGGTTCTCTTGCATTTCTGCGTATCTTGTGAGCTGAGACACTGACTGCTTTTGTTGCAGACTATCTTGATAGAATGTTTACATGGTGAACAGCATTGGGAAATAGAGATGACAAGTTCCTCTAGAGCAAAGGACAAGTTTGCTTGTGTCCCATCATAAAAAGTTTAGGGTTTTTTCTGTAACACATCCCAAACCTTTTCATGTTTCCTTTGGATGGGAAACTGGTGCAGAAATGAAGGTATTCTGGCTGCTACCATTGCCATGAGAAGTAAACTGTCCCTTTTCCCTGGTCTAGAAATCTCATGTCTTCCAGCATCCATGAAGCTGACAAGCTTATTAGTTATGATTAAAATCTTAGACCTTCACAGTGTTTTACACATTTTTATGCGTTATTAATGAAACAGTATTAAAAAAACTCCACAAAACTATGAAGTGTGCACTGTGGCACATGCTTTATTAGGCAGTGGTTCAAATCTTGAGTTCTAGAAGAAGGAACATAATTCTTCAGAAATTAAGCAGCTTATTCAAGGTCTGGCTCTTTAACTTGTTCTCTCACACTGCTGCCTGTAGTTACTCCAGTCTTGAAAGCAATTTATATAAAATACTGATGTAGTGCTTTTACTGTGTTAAATACAAATTAAATTGGGGTAATTTTTAATCTTTTGTCATTACTTGAGCATGAAACATTTAAGTTGAATTGTGCTATTTAAGTTACATACTTCTATAATTTTTTTTTTTACGTAACTAATTACAGTTTTAAAAATTTTCAGAATTGTTGTCTGTGTACTTCAGGCTGTATCTCAAACCTCCACAAGACATTAATAGAGTTTTAGTAGCGAGAATAATTTACACTGTGACCAAAGGATGCTGTTCACAAACTGATGGATTAAATCCTACATTTTTGGATTATTTTTCCAAGGCTATTCAGTGTGCAAGGTAATTTAAACTTTTTGTTTTGTTTGGTGTTGAAAAATTCATTTGGTCTTCTTACAAGGCTATAGTTTAAATTCAGTAATTTAAAAATACTGCCATTTAAGGCGCAGTGATTCATTACAATAGAAGTAGTGGATTCCCAAAGACAGTGTTAGGCCCAACACTTCCTGAATAGACAACATGTAGGACAGTTAAGTGATGTTTTTTTTAAGTGGGAGCTGTCTTGCTCTTCTAATGACAAGAAAATTTAAATAACCTAAGTATTTTCATTTTTATCATCTTGAGGAGTGATACCATGCACTAAGAATAAACTGAAATAGCAATGTATTTGGAAAAAATCAGTATCTTAAATTTGTATGGGATTACCCAATTTATAATGTGAAACATTTTTAAATCCTAACTATTACGTATCAATTTTGTATATTTTAGATAGGAAGAACTAACAAGAGTAGTCTCTTAGTACTAAAGAAGAACTCTTTCTGGGTGTGTGTGTGTGTGTGTGTGTCTGCATAATACTTTCTTTTTTTTTTTTCTTTTCTTTTTCTGAATAATTCTGAAACTAAGGCTTTTGGAACTTGAAAATTAGATTATCTTTTTTTTCCAGCTTGTGTTTTCTTAACTGTCCTCAGTATTTATAGTTTTGGTTCCCTGTTATACCATGTTAAGTTTGTTTGTTTTCTATCACAGACAAGAAAAGAGCTCTGCAGGTCTAAATCATATCTTAGCAGCACTTAATACATTCTTCAAGATTTTGGCTGTCAACTTTCGAGTTCGAGTGTGTAAATTAGGAGATGAAATTCTTCCTACCTTGCTTTATATTTGGACTCAACATAGACTTAATGACTCCTTAAAAGAAGTGATTATTGAATTATTTCAACTACAGATTTACATTCATCACCCAAAGGGAGCCAAAACCCAAGAAAAAGGTACATAGGATATTTTTACCATTTTGAATTTGCTTCTTCATTGAAACATAGAGGCTTAAAGTATAAAATCAGTATTCTGTGGATTGGTCTGCTTGATATTTTTACTTATCATGAGAGAGATTTTTCATATATATTTAGAATTTGAAGCTGTAGTAATCTTACCCTTTGTTCAATACAGTGTGAGCTGTTCGGAGGAATGAAGTAAGTGAGATACACTGTCTATGCCTTCTAGGACCTAATTTTGCAACAATTATTAGATGCTAAGAGGTGTGATGGGAGCTCTGGTGGCGTAGTGCCTAAGACATTTGACTGCTAACCAGAAGGCTAGTGGTTCAAACCCACTGGCCACTCCTCGGAAGGAAGATTGGGTGATCTACTTCTGTGGTGATACTGCCTTGGAAACCCAAGGAGGGGTCACTATGAGTCGGATCCGACTCGATGGCAGTGAGTTTGGTTTTGTTTGTTTTTTAAGAGATGTGATACAGACTAAAAGGACAGAAGAATTCAGAGAAATGAGGATCTTGTTTATCCATATATTGCATATATTAGAAGATAAAATAGATAAGTGTAGAATGAAAACAGCTAATCAGATTATTCAGATTCTAGGGAAGATGCATACATATCACTTTCATAGAAAAGTTAGCTGGGAAAGGGATTGGTCCTTGAGTCTCATAGTTACTTCAGCCTCCTGTTTGCTTGGAAAGCAACCAGAAATGAATGGCTTGTCCTTGCTTGATTCCCCTGTATTTGTGCTTCCCCAAGAGTGTTGCTTGGGTGGTATAGCACTATTCAGTAGATTAGAACTTCAGTGGGTGAAATTGGTGCTGAATGAGTGCCATTAGGCTAACTCTATAATTACCCTTGGGCTCTTACTAGCCTTTGGATCAGTTCATCTTGGCTAATTTAATACCTTTCTTAAAATAGCACACCACAGTGAGTAATAGCTAAAACAGGAAAAAATAAAAAAGCTCTAGGCCTTTTTTTTTAATCACAAGTAGTTTGTATGTTTTATTGTCTCCTAATAAGTACCGTTAGTTACATTTGTAGCCCATGAAACTACTGTAACTCAAAGAATGGTGGTTTCTCTCTTTTTTTCATTTTTCATACAGCTCTCACCAGGATGACTATTAGGAGGTACTTTTTAGGGGATGATAGGAAATGTTTAAGAATTTTAATTACTGCAGATTTAGATGAACTGAAGGTTGACAAGATGATGAAACTGCCAGAAAAGCTAATATATCTTTAAGCTTTAAGCTACCTTAATTGATAGGCAGTACCCTGTTTTGGGGAAGTAATAGTTCTGTTGATCCCCAAATTGGTCACACCACAGGTGGAGTAATATGTTTACCACAGTTTCTATATTAGACATATTAATTAAGAGGGACATACATTGACTGGAATGTCTTGGGAAAGATGACTGGGATAATAAGTCTGAAGAGCATGTCATTTGTACACTAGTTGAGGGAACTGGTAGTGTTTTTCTCTTACATAAAAAAAGACATGGATAACTCGGTCCTCATATGAAAGAGAACATACTAATTGTATTTGCCTCAGAGGAGAGAGGAAATTGGAGAAGGATTTTAGACCAAGACTGTAGAAGAACTTTACAACAAATACAGCTGTCTGAATGTGGAATGGACATTATGAAGTAGAGGTTGTAAGGAATATTGTAGAAGAGTCCTTAGTACTGAATAGCTGTTTCTAATGTTGTTTCCATCTTAACAGCAGAATAATTTTGTGGGAGTCGGCAGTGGAGCGTGTATATATAAATTACACTTGAATTTTTTTGGATTACAGGTGCTTATGAATCAACAAAATGGAACAGTATCTTATACAGTTTATATGATCTGCTAGTGAATGAGATAAGTCATATAGGAAGTAGAGGAAAATATTCTTCAGGGTTTCGTAATATTGCTGTTAAGGAAAACTTGATTGAGTTGATGGCAGATATTTGTCACCAGGTAATGTAAGTCTTTGTATGTTTTGAAATTTGAATCCCTTCCTTGTATCTGTTGTCACGTTTTAAAACTTCCTGTTACTTTTCCTCTTACTGGGCTCTGAACCTGTGTTCTGATTAACAGCCTGTATAATTATGTCTATAACTTTTCCTTTTAGAATATTATAAATAGCTGGAATTAATGTTTTAACCTGAAAGATAACTCTTTTGCAAATATGATTTCATGAAAGCCGATGATGAACTTTTTATTCTTGGTCAAATGGTCTATAGGAAATAATATGACCTTAATCTCCTACTGTTCTTTCTTTTTTAATAAGACAAAATCACATATCATAAAACTCACCACTTTGAAGTGTATAATTCAGTGACTTTTAGTATTTTCATTATGTTGTACAACACAGTGAAAATTCATACTAATTCCAGAATATTTCCATTGGTTATAGTAGTCAGTCCCTATATTCCCCCTTCTGGTCTCTCATAACTACTGATTGACTTTCTGTCTCTATACCAAAAAAACCCAAACTCACTGTCATCGAGTTGATTCTGACTCATAGTGACCCCCCCTTTGGGTATCCGAGGTGGTAAATCTTTATGAAAAGTAGATTGCCTAGTTTTCCTTCCATGGAGTGGCTGGTGGGGTTGAACCACTAACCTTCTGGTTAGCAGTCAAATGCCTTAGGCACTACACCAGCAGAACACTTATCTTTATAGATTTGCCTGTTTTTCATATAAATAGAATCCTACAATACTTGGCTTTTTGTATCTGCCTTCTTTCACTTAGCATATTTTCAAGGTTCATCTAGTATTTTATTCCTTTTCATGGCTAAATAATATTCCATTATATGCATATATTACGTTTTGTTTATCCATTCATCAGTTAGTGACCAAATATTTTGTGAGTAAAAGTTTTTCCCTAGAGATTTGGTTAACATTCTAGATAGTAATAGTTTGTCAAATATTTTCATAATGTTAAGTTTAAGATGTAATCCCTTTGACTAAGTAGGTTTTGCTTCACTTTTATATGTGTTGATGCTTTTAGTGAATGTTTCCAGGAAATAAAACTGATATATTACTTGGTGATTACTGTGTTTTAAAGAGCCATTATATTTATTTCAATGTTTCTTCCTCACTATATTATCATATTTTATATATATTTCTGTCATTCATTACTCTTGTTTGGTGACTTCTCTATATTTTCATTTGAGGAGGAATGTTTTTTCCAGATTAGCTATTCCAAAATAATATCAATAAAAAAATAATTTTTCCTTTTTTGTATTTTACAGGTTTTTAATGAAAATACTAGATCTTTGGAGATTTCTCAGTCTTATACCACTACACAAAGAGAATTTAGTGATTACAGTTTACCTTGCAAAAGGAAGAGAATAGAATTAGGCTGGGAAGTAATTAAAGATCATCTTCAGAAATCACAGAATGATTTTGATCTTGTGCCTTGGTAATTTTATTTTTTTCTCTTTCTGTGTCATTTTAGTCTCATTTAGGTTGTCTTAGAAGACCTTCAGCAGAATCCTTTATTTGGTCATTTGTCTACTCCCAAACCAATCACTTGCACAAAGGAATGGGATTGCTATGACATATTGAAGTCAGTCATCATGGCTTATCTGCTAGGGCAGGGGACAGGGCCTATCTTCTCTACACATATTGCTGCAGCAAGGAAGAAGGGGAAAATGGTGGTGTTTGCTTCATGGAAATCACTAAGTTGTACATCTCAATACAAAGAGATGTACTTTGCAGTGCACACTCCAATAGAATTAGGTTAGGGAGAAAATAAAAATAGCCTTCAGATATAACAGAATAATTTTGACCTTATACCAAGATAAAGAGTGATTATTATTTATTTCTTCACTCTCAGAAGAATATAACATGCCCTTTTGTGGAATTAGGAGCTCTGGTGCATAATGCCTAAGGCATTTGACTGCTAACCAGATGGTTGGCTGTTCAAACCCACCATCTGCTCTGCAGAGAGAAGACTGAGTGATCTTCTTCCATAAAGATTTACCACCTCAGAAACCCAAAGGGGTCACTATGAACTTTTGTTTTGTTTCCTTTTAATGTGTTTGGAATTCCAAATATTAGGTCTGGTCTAAAATAAAAACCAAACTCCCTGTCATCGAGTCATTTCCAACTCATAGTGACCCCCTTTGACCCCCTTTCTAAGGCTGTAAATCTTTATGGAAATAGATTGCCCATTCTTCTTCTGTGGAGCAGCTGGGGGTTTGAACCACTGTCCTTCTGGTTGGCAACCAAATGCCTTATCCACTACGCCATCAGAGCTTCCTGTGGACCTTTAGAATTCATCTGGTTCAGCCTATTTATAGAAAGAAAACTAAAGCCCAGAAAAGTTAAGCAATTTACCTAAAAATAATTTTAAAAATTAAGATTAAGATTTTAAAATTAAGAATTATAACTAACACTTGTGTTCATTGCTCTTTTAATTTTTACCAGGTTGATTGTTTAAATATAATCGAGTTGTGCATTGGTATAGATCCTTTTACTTGAGATCATGTTTATTTAATATGCTTTTGGGTGCCTGTTTCAGTTATTTAATTTGTCCATACAGTTAAGAGTTATTTATCAAATGTCTGCTGTCTGCCAAGCATTAGGGATACAGAGTTGAATAAGGAAAGGTTTCTAGTCTCGAATACCACAAATTCTAGAGAACTCACAAGTGTTTACTGAATTAATGTCAAGGAAAAGCAGTTTTTTGTTTATCTTTTAGAGGATGTTATTGGTAGCTAAAGAGGAAAAGTAGGTAGAATAACTCAGAAGTAGAATGTTGCTAATTTAATTATTCTTTTAAAATTTTTGTGTAAGTAAAACATAAATGGCTTATCCACCTAGCCAGAAAGTTATTAGTCTTCCTGCTACTTTAAGAAGTAGGTCTTGTTAAATGTTAAGAACCAGTCTATTTTGAGAGTACTATGGAGAATGATGACAGTGATGCTCTAATTAGAGTATTGTAAGGGTACCATCTATATTTTATTTTCTTTTAGCTTGTTAATGAGATAGAGTCACTTTAAAAGTAATGATTCTTTTTTTCTTTTAGGTTACAGATTACAGCCCAATTAATATCAAAGTATCCTGCAAGTTTACCTAGCTGTGAGCTATCACCGTTACTGACAATACTATCCCAACTTTTACTTCAACAACGACGTGGGGAACGCACGCCATACGTGTTACGATGCCTTATGGAAGTTGCATTGTGTGAAGGCAAGAATTCAAACCTAGAGAGCTCACAAAAGTCAGATTTATTGAAACTCTGGATTAAAATTTGGTCTGTTACCTTTCGTGGTATAAGTTCTGAACAAATACAGGCTGAAAACTTTGCTTTACTTGGAGCCATAATTCAAGGCAGTTTAGTTGAGGTTGATAGAGAATTCTGGAAGTTATTTACTGGGTCAGCCTGCAGACCTTCATGGTAAGTTGAATATACATTGTGTCAAGTTTTAAACACACACACAAATATTGCCACCACCCCCCCAATCATTTTTATAGCTTTGTTACTTCAGTTAAAGATACGTTAAGTTCTGTTTGAGAAGCTTTTGTTGTTTGGCCAGGAAGACTCAATAAATGAATAAATGTGAATTTAGTTTTAAATGTGGAGAGATTAGTAAAGGTCAGTTTTAAAGAACTAGAGGTTTCATCTTTTTTATCTATAATAGAGAATTAATAGCTTAATAGTCATAATTTTTTTTCCCCAACAGTAGTTGTTACTGTTATGATAAGATGTAGTTTTAATCAAGAATCTCCTCCAGTGTACTAAGTTCTTTTACAGTGTTTATGTTCATTTTGTTAACAAAAGTTTACCGCATGCCTAGTATGTGCCAGGCACTGTCATAAGCTTAGGAGGCTCAATAAGATCTCTGCCCCTCAAAGGACTTATTTTTAACAACAGTTCTTTGTTTTGTTACAGTCCTGCAGTGTGCTGTTTGACAGTGGCACTGACCGTATGTGTAATTCCAGAAACAGCAAAAACAGGAGTAGAGCAGAATATATATGAAATAAATAGAAGTTTTTCATTAAGGGAATTAATAATGAAATGGCTCTTATTCTATCAGTTAGAGGATGACTTAGAGGACAGTACAGAGCTGCCTCCAGTTCTTCACAGGTAATTTCAGTTCATTAGCATACTGCTATTTTGTTTTGTTTTGGTGTAAAAGTCTCCCTCCTTTCGTACTGGATATCAGCTGGCTTTAGTTCACAGGGATAATGCAGAATTTCTCAGAGTTTGTTGTTTTTGGTGCTCTTGACTCAGTTTTCAATTCATAGTGACTCTCCATATGACAGAGGAGAATAGAACTGCCCTGTAGGTTGTTCTTGGCTGTAGTCTTTATAGAAGCAGATCACATTCTCATTATTTTTACAGCATTCTTTGTCTTTGTGTCTGGATCTCTGTTAGATCCTTTTATGTTGTTACTGTTCCTTGCCTAGATAGTGAGAATAAGGAATGTGCTTAAAGAATTGTATATAATTCTGTAAGTATTGTACTTTGTGATTTTCTGTAAATAGGACCATTTGAACATTTTATTATCTGACTCAGATGGTTCTTGAATTTCTAATCATAATGGGAGTGAGGAAATAAGAGGAGGACAAAATGGGATGTAAACATGAGGAAAGGAGAGGAGAGGCTGCTTACCCACTTAACCTTGCCATTTAATGGAAATTTCCAGATGGCAATTTGAACTGTATAGTTGGGAAGCGGACCTGGATTCTAGTGCTTTCACTTCAGTCTCACAGTCTTAGTTTGTTTCAGAGCGATCTTTAAAAAACAAATTGGACTTGTTTCTGCTTCTAGACAATGTTGGAACTGATGATAGAGTGTATGCTCCTTAGATTTCTCCTTTCACATGTAAAGAAATTCAATACAAATGAAAGGGAATTTTAGTTACAATCCTGAATTTTAATTTAGGTTTCAAATTTAGAGGTGCAGTTTATAGCCAAACATGGACCACTTCTTAAAGAATTCTGTAAATGACTTTTGGTGTTTTAAGTGCTTTTTATTTTCATTTATAGTAAGTTTCCTCATCTTTCGGTGGAAAAAATTCTTGTGAGTCTCACTGTGAAAAACTGTAAAGCTGCTATGAATTTTTTCCAGAGTGTGCCAGAATGGTATGTAATAGAATTCCTTGTTATTTTTAAGCAAAACTTTAATTTAAAAGATGATAATTTTAGCAGGATCCTAACTGCATCCTAACAATAAATTGTTCAATTTATAAAAATCACAAGTTAACCAAAAAAAAGGTTCTTTTAATTCAGTGGCTGTAATGTATATAATTTTACACCTGGATTACTATTTTTTTTAATACTATATAGTATAACATACGACATTTGCCAATGGAAGAAGTTGAGTGGTTATAATGGGAAATTAAGAACATAAAAATGATGTGAAATGAGTTTTTAAGGTATGACTAATTATTTTTATATGTCAAGTAAAAGTTGACTATTTTTAGCCTTAAAAACTTAGGATAATTGAGGATGGGGACAACAAAAATAAATTTTAAAATTTTATTTTAATTGATTCAGAAGGCTTATGTGTAATCACTGGTTGAAAATGATTAATTGATGTAGATTCCTAATCATAAGAGGACATAAAATGAAAAAAATCCTAAAATTTAGAGAAATCAAAGGTGGGAAAATGGAAATGTTTTCAGATACTGTTATGCTCAGTGTTTATATCCTGTATTATTAATGCTTGCCCTTTAATACTTTCTGAATTTGCCTTTGAAACTGCGACATTTGATTTCTTTTGTCTATCAGTAAAGTTTGGTACTGAATAATGAAATTTGATACAAATGAGTATCAAAAGTCCAAAGAAGAGAAACATTTTAAAAAATAATCCATTAATTATTAAGGAGTCTTTGAATAATGTAGATATTTTATTTTCCTTTATAATATATTTCTAATACATGTATTATATTGTTCAATTATAAATTAAAGGTCTTATTTTCTTTAAGTGAGCAACAGCAGAAAGGTAAAGAAGAGCCTTCATTCTCAGAAGTAGAAGAACTATTTCTTCAGACAACTTTTGACAAGATGGATTTTTTAACCATTGTGGAAGAATGTACTACAGAAAAGCACCAATCTAGTATTGGGTTTTCTGTCCATCAAAATCTCAAGGAATCACTGGATCGCTATCTTCTGGCTTTGTCAGAACAGCTTCTAAATAATCACTCATCTGAGGTGAGATTTTAAAAAAGAACTAAAGCCTATATTTGATTCAACTTTGGGTAGATTATTAGGAAAGGAAAATGGGAAACAGGTTAGGAAAGGCACTGAGAATGGGGAAATGGTTGATTATAACAGCAAAATAAGAATACATAGCTACGAATTGGGAAATCTTAAGCTTGACAACTGAAGAATAATTGGTTAGTTCCTTGGTACCAGGAATTCTGCTTGACATAAAGGAAATAGAATTCTTTTTACTTACAGAATCATCTTGGGTAAATTAGTGGGGAATAGTAAAGATTTTTGAGTATAGAGATTATATGGAAAGAATATATGGTACAGTAATATAAAAGGACGTAATTTAAACTGATTTAATAGGTTTTGATGGCACTTAAAAAGGTGATAAATGGACTAGTAGTGACCTATTTTGTAGAAGTCCTCTAGTAATTTATTCTCATAAAATCACAAATTCTTTTTGTGTTCTATTCTCTTGCCAAAATTAACCGTCATTTCTGTTGACAATACATGTAACATTTTGTTTACTCAAAAGAAAATTGTAGAATATCCAAAGTTTTTAATGAATTTTTTTTTTTCCAATTTGTGGCTTTAAGACTACAAATTCGGAAATGTTTGTCCGGTGTTCAAGTCTTTTGGTGGGTGTTCTTGGATGCTATTGTTACATGGGTATAATAGCTGAAGAAGAAGCACATAAAACAGAGTTATTCCAGAAAGCGAAGGTAAGAGGATTTACACTAATGAACTTTGGGATAATTTGAATTAAATTTATTCCTGTGAAAATTGGTATATTTGTTTTGAAAATGTAAAATTTTTCATAGGTTAACCATTCTCTTCCATTTAGATTGTCTGAGAACAAATAATACTGTATGTCCTTCCTTAAGGCTTGAAATTATATTAAGCCAACTATAAAGATAGTAATTGAAATCATAGCACAGTAAAAATTATATGAACAATAATGGTGAATTTCTTCTGTACTTTTAAAAGTTGTTTTGTGTGTGTGTGTGTGTGTGTGTGTATGATCTATTATTCTAAACTCCTTTTGGTTGAAGGTATTAATCAAGTAGGCTGTAAGTATGAAACTTTTTGGTCTCTGTGTACTACTCTGTCAAAGGTCTGATTTTCAAGGTATAAAATATGGCATTTTTATAGATTATTTACAATTTTTTAATTACATTGTATAACCAGTGTCACTTGTAGAAAGACTTAATTTTGCCTCTTAAGTGAAACTTTAAAAAGAAATTCATAAACTGTGATTTTTCCTCCTTCTGTTCTTAATAGTCCCTAATGCAATGCGCAGGAGAAAGTATCACTGTTTTTAAAAATAAGACAAATGAGGAGTCTAGTATTGGTTCATTGAGAAATATGATACTTCTCTGTACAAGTTGCTTATGCAGCTGTACCAAGGTAAGATAGTCTTCTTACTTGATAGTGTAACTTATCCAGGGGGTTAATTAGTGGTGGTATTATTTTTGGTCCATTCATAAATATATATGTTGACTTTAAATGAAATTGAATGGTATATAAAGGTCATAGTCCAGAAGAATGAAGAAACAGGTAATCTGAGTTTCTCATAAACTCAGTTTAATCATTGCAGTTAGGTTTCTGAGATTTTTACCACTTTCATATGCAGCTATACGGATGACTTTTATTGGTAGCATATTTTTATTCATTTAATAAAAATTTGATTGACTGTGGTCTATATGATGTGCATACCACTATACCAGGGCTAGTGAACAACACAAAGATAAGTCACTTCAACATACATGTATCTCTTATACCCAGATTTCTTACATTATGTTTTTTTTTTTT